GGCGGCCGTCCCGCTCAGCGACTCTTGCGGGAAGCGCCTGACGGCGTTGCCGGCTGGGCAGCACCATTTTTGGCGTAGAACCAGCTGCCATTGAAAGCCTCGAGTTGAAATAAATTTACCGCGTCCTTACCGAAGTCTTTCTCGCGGTTGATTGCAACTTCTGGCACAACCGTTACCCCTTTTTCGCCGCAAATGATTTTTCCTTCGGTTTTCTAGCTGTTTCTCTTAAACATTGGTAACGATCTCTTAAAGATCGCAGTCCTATCTCAATTATTACAGCTTCTTTTTGCACACTGGGCAGTGATCTCCCTCCCCTGGAGAGCTACCGCAGAGGCCTGGGGAGCGCCGGGCGTCGCTCTCGGATGGGAAGCGTGTGCTGCCGGGCCCCGATGCCGGTGAGGATGAGGCAGGCACGAGGAACTGACCTCCGCTAGCATCAGGCACTGCTCAGCACACTGCAATATTTAGGGTTTCACGAGTTTATTTTGTCAAAAAATGAGTTAAGGAATTCTATAAAAAGGAGACTCGGGGGAAAAAATGACTTAGCTTTTAACCATTAAAAATTGAAGTACGTTTGTTATTGGAAAACTGTTTAAGCAATATTATCATAAACTGTTTAAGCAATATATTTATCATTGATTTTTATTAATTACTTGTACTCTTATATAAACATTTCCAGAGCTTTTTCAATGACTGGATCGCGCTATATATGAAAGATTACAGTGTCTTTCTGCTCTATTTTTTTCTGTGTAGGTAATTACGTATCACCCTCAAATACAGAACAGATTTTTCTAGACTCATTTTTCTAGGTCCTTAACCTTTCCAATTTGTTACACCTTTTATAACTAATCTTGATTCCAGAATAGTCTCCTTATTGTGCTATATAATGGCCATAGCAGCGCATGCTGTTCTTCAATATTTTTGCGTAGATATCCAATGTTTGCATTTGCTGTTATAGCTGCCACATTGCATGGACAGCTTGCATTCATTTGCTTACCCTCATGACCTCCTCAGTTCTCTTCTGACTTAATGCTTTCCAAAATACAGTATCTGCCTTCCTTGCTCCCAGCCTGAAAGTATGCTCTGCATTTTGGCTCCTACACGCAGTCAGCAACCTAGTCTTTGATGCCTCAAGATATATGCCATTGAGATGGATTAAAACATATGTTGTTCAAGTGACTCTTGCTTACTATGTGATTTAAGTCATTCGGTGGTGACCAGTCTATACCGTCGTCTAGGCCTTCAGCTGTTCTGAAATGATCTGCAAATTTTATGAGCAGTGTTTTACTTTTTGCCAAACAGTTGATTGACTGAGATAATGGAGTAGCACTGGGTCAAGAACAGATTCCTTTGGAGCCCAATTTAAAAAGTCTCTCATATGACAATTTTTCATTTAAATTACTTTCTAATGTCTATTAATAAGCAGCCTTTAATCAATTTACTACATGTTATAGTGATATTGCATAGTTCTAAATGTGACTTTTTTGTGTAGGCAACACCTACAGCCTGCTTTGGGTCTAAGATAAATGCTTACATTGAATATAACAGTCTCCAGATGCACAAAAACCTGTTGCAGAGAGGAAGGAGATAACTATAAACTTGATAAGCATGTTTCTTCTCATAGGAAGAAAAAGATCAGGTTAGCAATTACAATAGTTAAGTATTGGGAAGGGTGGTAGAACATCTATCATCAAAAGTCGTTAAGAACAGGTTAGACGAAGAACTGTGAGGAATTATGTAAATTTTGTTGATCCTGCCTTGAAACAGAACATTGAACTAGATGACTTCTTACAGTTTTTTTTTCCCTATAATTAATGCTACTGCCTAGTCCCGCTAAAGGGATGGATTTGGGTCGTTGTACTGTGTGACATTTGTTCCACTGGCCAAAGAGTCATGCATAAAACCAGAGGGAGGAGAGTTGGAAAGCTGTACCTTAGAGCCAGGTGCTCAGGATGTGGTAGGGTGTACTTTTTGCACGCATGATCACAAGGGAAGGTGAATGGTGTAGGGGGGGTATTTTTAATGTATGTTTAGTTGATTTTAATTTTATATACAGGTCTGCAACTACTTAAGCCTATGGACGGGCTAGAATAAGACCTATACTTGCTAATGGTACCTGCTTTTCTGCCTCTGTTACCTCTGCTGCAAATTTCAGCAGAAGCGCAAGGGAGGTATCTCAAAGCTGTTACATCTTCAGGGTTGAATTCCGCCTTACATTGGTACGCTAAGTGCAATTTTTGTAACTTAACAATGTTTACATCTACTGGTTATGTGTTTTATGTTCTTATTGTTAAACGTCCCCCTCCCCCATACCAGGTAATGCTAAATAAAGCCAACAGAGTTTTCTCATATGTTTCTCACATTTGATAATCTGTCTATATGAAAGAAGAAATAAAAGCCTTCTTCAGTATGGGTAATGAGATTCCTCGTACTATGTTGAAAAACATCGCAAATTGTTTCTCTACTCCTGTCTAAAACATGCTGCCATCTAAAGATAAGTTATTAAACTCAGTAAAAACCAACAACCAAACATGCTGCCTAACAATTGCTTTTAGGTGACAGACTGCACAAAGCAGGAAGTGTATAAAGGGCATCAGGATACTTGATTATGTAAACGTAACAGATAGTGGGAGGACATACCCATGTTATTACTGTTATGTAAGATGCTTATAGAAAAGTAGCAATGTAGCTCATTTTGAGATAACTGCAGATGTTGCCTAATACCTCCCATGATAGCAAATTTAAGCCATGAAAAGCTGTAATAACATGAGCCAGTTGCCTGGGAAGGAGAAGTCAGAAAGCAAGCACAGTTCAGCTGACTCCCCAAGGAGAAAACCGTGTGTGAGGAATTAGCATGTAAAAGCTTTATGTGTTCTTATTCTAGAAAAATAAGCAGAGCTAATCTGTAGTATTAGAACAGTAAATATCTGTAAGATTAATTAGCAGGAAGACAAACAGGACTCAGGCCGCTGTGAAGACACATTCGCATGCAGTCAATCATTCTTCCTTGTAGTTGGAGCATGTAGACATCCAAAGTCTAGTGTTAGCAAAATGTATCCTTTGAGTGAATCTGAACTAACTCTTAATTCCCCAAATGGAGAAGATAGTTGAGGCAAAAAAAAGTATTATGTCCACTCTGTGGTTTTTGTTTTTTTTTTTTTTTTTAAATTTAGTAAGTGCATTGCCATTTCTTTAAAATGAAGAATTCTGTCCTCTGGTTTGATAGATTGAATTTGTTTTCATTCTGAGTTTGTCTAATGCTTAAAGTATGTTCAGAAGAAAAACACTCTACTTTTGTGAAGGTGGAGTTTCTAGAAGCACTGTTGTAGTCTCTGCCTTTGGGCATCTCAGAGTTTGGGGAGAGCGTTCTTTTTGCAGGCTTCAACATGCAGCGTTGGGGGCTGATGTCAAGTAGTAGGTGAAAGAAAAGCCCTTTCTGGTGGGAGTTAGTACCTTTCTGGCAAGGAGTAGACAGTGACAACGCAACTTAAAACTGCTGGAATGAATTTGTTTGTGACAGAAAGCCATTAGGGTCAGGGAAATTACTTAATAATAACTGATGAGTAATAGGAAAGACAGCTGAAAGGAGAAGAAACCAGTGGTATGATAGCATAGAGACCTGTTCCACACATAGGGGAAGGGTTACAGCATAGCAAATACTGAGAAGAGACCATTAGATGAAACATGTAGGAGAAGCAGAAAAGGAGAAGTAGGGTTTGCTATAAGCAATACCTCGACGTTTAGTATTACTATGTTACCATTTGCTATTCTTCCCTTGTAACATCTGAGCCTAAAGCCACATACAGAAGCAAAAACCTACCACAAATTCTGAAGCTAGATAAACTACAAATACTAAAACAACTCCAATTTTTATTCTAATGCTTTACTTTCTAATCATTATCTGTATTCTATCATCAGTTCCCAGGTACAAGCAGCTTTGCAATCTGTAGAGTAATAAGGGAAGATCTCCACTGGTAGCAAAAGAGATCATGAATAAAGTTGCTCGGTCTGAACTGAGCAGTAGGCATGACTTTTTCCCTGCTTTCAGTTTACTTGAAAATATCGCTTATTTTCTCTGCTGTGCTGCTGAAAGACATACCAAAACCCAATGCTTTGTTCTTCCAGTCTGAGCCCTCTGACCAGGTAGTGCCCAAGCTTGCTGACAGATATGTCTCTTCAAGCACATGGTTAAAACATTGGAAATTAAGCAAAGAGCATAAATTTTGAACACCAGAAACCAATTACTGCCAAGAATAAGCCACATTCTGTGAATGGCGACTGATTAGGGATCAGGGAATGTTAAATAAAGTGACAACGATTTCTGAATGGTCAAAAAGCAAAAATTGCAGCACGCTGCTCTGCACAGGTTCCACTTGTGGTCTCTTGTTAAATTTTGCTTGGTAATGGAAAGCATTTCCTAAACTGGAGAGTCCAGCTTGTTGTCCCAGCTATTTAAAACATATTCACCAGCCACACCTGCCTGATGAATGACTGCTCTGGCCCCTTTATTCGAATCAATGTTACCATTCATGCTAACATTTTTTTTTTTGAGCCTCCTCCTTTTCTCCTCAGCTAATACAGAAGCAATGAGCTGTCACTTAATGCTGCTGCGAGGCTCGTTTTTACACCAAAATGGTTTAAACACTTTCTTCCTTCTGAGCAAATGTTTGATACTTTCTTTAGCCTAGGCCTTTATTTAAACCTGGAAGCATGCAACCCAATGGGATAAACAAACGGACAAGTTAATATATACTTTCTATACCTAACACAATAGGAGTGGTGTATTTCTGATGTTCATTCTGAGTAATAGTTATCAAAAAGGTATACAAGGCACAAATACATACTACGTCAAAAATAGTATTTTTAGAGATCCTCTTTTGAATTCTGAACCAGAAACCCACACAGTACTTAAAAAAACAAACGTTACAAGCTACTGTATTAGTTTGCAGGATTTTCTGCTAGTTAATCTGTATAAAATAAACAAAAAATCATGTCCCAACTCTGTTCCCTGCCAAGGACAAATACTATTTTGTAGGGGAGGGAAAGCTAGACTGCACTTGTTCAAAGAGTAGCAAAGGCTCCTTTGGCCAACCACACTGAATTTATTTTAAGATTTATAGAACATCTATATAACCATATAGAAAGTCGATTTCCAGACAGGCCAGAATGTGATGTGAAGGCAGCACTGACTCATACAGACTGAATTTTGGCAAATAAGGTTTTACCAGCTATAGCACAGGAATTCAGAAACATACAAACATACAGAAATTTTGCAATTTTGAGGTGCTAGCAGTAACACGTTAATAGGGTTAAGCAAGGTTATTTGTTGCAATTTGTAATCCTTATGCTCTAATTAATAAATAATACCTTGGCAACCCAGAGCTGCAAGTGCAGAAACAAATGCATGTGAAAAGAACTCTCATATGTTTTACTGTAATGAAGTACCCCAAGTTGCTTTTAAAAGATAAATGAGGTAAGAATCAATTTTGAAATAGCTCGCTTCAGATCTGCAACACTTTGGAAGTTGCTGTGAAAAGGAAAGTTTAGCAGATTTTCAAATTTCTGGAAAGACACAGGCATGCTATAGAGAAAGTAAGGCCTATGATACAGATACGACACAAAACCTTGTAAGAAAGTAAAGTATTCATACAATTAATAGCCCAAACCTCTGCGTTAAAGGAACATTGGAAGTTTCCAGTGAATGACTGTGACTCTTGCCTCCCAGCTGTGATGCTGACAGTTTGAGGTGCGACTGCCCCCCTCTGCTTGCCTGGTGCTGTGCTGCACTTTATTATCCATGACAGTGACAACAGTTGCAGATATGAAGTGTTTTTTGCTGATGCAGTGAACAACATCGTGCAGTAACTCCAACTAGTGGCTTAAAGCTGTTGCATGCAGATGGCTGGATCTAGTTTAGCAGCCTTCAGCCAAATTGTGTTGGTGTGTTAGGCTTAGGGATCTTCTGGACTTGAAAGTTTTTTCTAAGGAGTGATAGAATAAATCAGAATAAATCAGTTTGCAACCTACATTGACATTAAAGTTTAACAGAGTTAAAATCAGAGAGATTTATCAGCCACTAAGGCTTCACTTGAATTCTCGTGCAAGATTTGTCTTGCTTTCATGAAGCTTCTTGATTTGGTAAGGGAAACCTACACCTTCACTAATCGCCTCAGAGCTCTTCTTAAAATTAATTTAAAATTAGACTCAGATTAGATTCAGATTAGATTGCAGAGTGACTAAACAGCCCCAGCTAATACTAATGATTCTAATAATTCTGTCTAGTAATCCTCATCTGTCTCTCTATTACCTTTAACCTTCAACTCTAAACGGTTTAAGGCAAAGTTATCTTTTTGTTCTGTTATTGAGCAGTGTCAGGACACAGGCTTCTACCGCCTAATAAAGTAAATCCATTGGCACTTGGCACTGGCATTCCTTCCAAAGTGATATTATGCTGCTTTGCTGCAGTTGAATTTGCCTTCCCTCTGGAGGTTCATCTTGATTAGATGCCACTGCCTTGATTAATATCTTGGCACTTAGCAAACATTTTAACTTGAATGACAATGGCAAACATAGCAGTTTCACCCGCTAGAAACACCAAACGTGCAACAGTTTGGTCCTGTGCTTCTGCTATCCTTCATTCCTGGACTCTTTTGTTTTACAGCCAGCCAGCTCAGTCCTGCCTAAGTAGCACTCACTAGACGGCCTATAGGAGAGGATTTTAAACGAGATGAAAGAGAGGAAACCCTCAAGACTTACTGCAGTGTCACAGCAAAGAAAAGGACCTTTGTCAATTATTACGAGAACATCAGAATAACAATAGGTCCTTGGGAAAACTCACAAGATCTACAGTCTGGTCTGATGAAGTCTTCATCAATGTTGGAGTAGTAAATAAGAAACAAATGTCTTCACTGATTTAATGTGTTGGCAAACTCTGCATTGTCCAGATGACAATGTCCAATTACAACTCAACATACCTGTGCCTCCTCAGCCAATCCTTGATTTCATCCCTCAGTCAGGGAAACCACACAGGGAGAGCGCGTATAAATGCCATGGCCATAAGGCCACTTTGAGTCAGAGCTCACAGTAAGTCTATGCTTCTAGGCACAAATCTGTAAAAAACACTTTAGGTCTAATGCTTGCAGAACTACTTTTTTTTTTTTGTGATACCTTTTGCCGTGGAGAAGATGAATGGTGCTCATTGACTGGGTAATCTAAAGCTTTTATAGTCCTTGTTGTTCACCCTAGGGTGAATAATTATTTAACATGTACCATTCAGAACCTGCACCAAATAGAAAAATATGTTAGTTTTCTCACGGGTCTTTATTCACTTCTTACTGAGTGCTTTACAAATGCAATTTTTTTCACAAGATTCCTGAGGCAAGTTAATATTATTACCTTCACCTTACAGATGAAGGACAGAAGGGTAGAGTGATTTACGCAAGAATGTTTCAAATGGCCACTATTTTTGGATACTTCTCTTGGGACACCAAGACCTTACTTGAAGGACTTGTTTAAGGCGTAGCTGTTATGGTTTCACTTGAAGCTGGATGTGCTGCCTTTACACATATCTCATCATACGTAGCTCAAGTCAGCACTAAAGGGCCAAAGGATGGTATAAGCTAGGGTGCAATTCCCCACCACGCAAACCTCTCAAAGTCGTCATGCCACGGTCCCACCTTCCTTCTGTTCCCAGCCATATGTTTCCGTTCCCTTGCACCGGCTCTTGTTTGACTCCTTCAATGAGCTAGAGAAAGGAAAGAAAAGAGGTGATTCACTTTCGCCTGCTTTGGCGAGGCAGCTAGGAGCCCCTGCGCCAAAGAGGCCACGGCCCTTCTGACAAGTCGCGTTTTTACATATCCGCGACCAATTAATTGCCAGCAGGATGCCTTCCGATTCTGATTTCCGGAAAAAACCCCATATTCTCCTCAACCTACGCGCCACGGAGGCTCCACAGCACCGACCCTCCCCCCCGCCCCGGG